AAAAAAAAATAAAAATAAAAAAAAAATAAAAGTAATAAGACGTCTTGATGAAGTTCCGAGGCGTCTCCGCACTCTGCGGCTTTTACCCTTGCGCCGCCTTGGCACGGAGCCGGCCGCGGCTGCCGATGCCGGGTTGTGGCATGGCTTGCTGGGTCTGAAGGATAGGGTTTTGGGTTTTGGGGTTCGGGTTTAGGGTTCAGGTATAATGCGATGTGCTGCGAGGGAACTTGGCCGGGCGAGCTCCAATCAGACCAGTGTAAGACATGTATAAGGTGACTTTATGAGGTTTAGTTTTGGATTATCAGGTATAAGGGCAACTTGAGGTTTATACACACTTAGTTCATGATAGAGGTGAGTAGGCTTCAGGAACCATCCATTGTGGTTTCGGGGCCCGATTCCATGAGAGTCTATAAGGGCTTGATTCAGGGTTTGGCGGTACGGTACAGGTTTCTAGTTGCCTGGGGCCGAGATATGAAGCTTTTGGCATGGGTTCAGAATGTCTCTATGAAAGCCCGATTGTGGAGCATACGGGTGCTGTTTGTTGTTCGGAGATGATGCGTGTGATCTTCAAGTCAGGGACGAAGGACATTGTCACGGCGCTTTGTCATTTTGCAGGGGGGAGGGGCGGGCATTTCTAGCTGCCATGCATTTCCGTAGAAGCATGGCAACATGTGAACTCTTGCAGAAACCCTGAAGCTTGAAACCCGGAACCTCTCACATGTCGGTTTGTGACCCAGCTTGGCCCTTAAGCGTGCTGAGGTTCTTGCCAGATGCTGCCCAAGGCGTTCCTGAGGCGCATATCTATAGAGGTTTGCATGAATTGAGTCTTCGGCTTAATTGAGGGCTTCGGCGCTCACAGCCGACACCCTTCCTTGGGATTGAAGTAGAAGAGCCAGGGAGAGGAAGCACGCGTTGGCGCAGAAAGCCTGAATCCTCAAACCCTGCACATTCAACCCACATCCTACTTAGACAAAAGACTGTCCATTATTCGAAGCTGGGTTCTAGCACAGGAAGCGAAGTTCCACCCCAAACACATTGATGTCAGATAGACGGAGGGTTCCGTTGGTACTCAAGGAGCTAGCCGCTAGCCCCCACCGCTCCCGAGATCGAGAGGCGCTCCTCCAATGCCTGGATCTGAAGATCGTGGCTCCTGCGCTTTTCGATGGAGACGAGGGAGGTCGACCGGAGGGACCTCTGAGGGTTTAAGGTTTAGGGGGGGTGCCCTGAAAGGGTAGGGTAGCTAGGTTCCCTTCAGATGTTTATAGGGGTTCCGGGTCTGGAGGGTAACCCAGGAATAGCTTTTGGGTTCCGAGTGGGATCCATAGTAGGTTCTACAGGTTCTTGGGTTCGGTTCTATACTGGGTTTTGGGCTTGGGGATACTGTTTCTTGGGCTTGGGAGTCGGTGTTTCGGTTGCTTTCGGGGCGCAGGGTCTTGAGGCATTAGGATTTAGCGTTTGATGCATTCTGTTGGGACTTCGGGTTTCGAGTTTAGAAGTTGGAGCTTAGAGCTTTGGTTTCTAGCGAACGGCTCTCGTTGTTCAGGTTTCTGGGGCTCAGCCCCTAAACCCTAAACCCTAAACCGTAAACCCTAAACCCTAAACCAGCCCTTCTTCTTGAGTTTTCAGCAGTAGCACCGAGGTTCAGGGTTCCACATGTAGGGTCTCGGATTGAGATGAAAGATACTTAAGGGATCATGGGACTTAGTAAGTAGGGTTAGAACTAAGGCAACTATACTTATAACCCCCAATTAGGGGACTTATAACCTTACTTACTAAGTCCCATGATCCTCCAACTATGGGTTCCCTTTCGAACAGTGAATGACTTCAGGGCTGTAGGGTGTGGGGCTTTGCGTGGCTTGGGGCTGTCGGGTTTGGGAGTTGGACGGTGTCGGAGTTTGGTCGTTGCTGTCATTCAGAATCGTTTAGGGGTTTGGGGTTAGGGGTTTAGGGTTTAGGCTTTACGGTTTAGGGGTTCCAACGGTACGCTGAAATCTCTGCCTCTCATTTAGGCAGGAGCTGGGGTATGGGGTATTGCTTATGGCGGGTCTTGCTTTTGTGACTAGATCACTGAGGGGTTCTGGGGTTTTCAGCGTTGTTGTTTGGTGATGGGCTTCAGGTTGTTGGTTTCATGACTTCGTCAGACCCTCGCTACACTCCTTGCCTGGCTTGTCCGAGTGTAAGTGTTGAAAACCGTCGAATCCCCCCTGATGGCATTCTGAAGTTACACCCCGATTGAAATCGCTGTTATAGGGTTCAAATCTTGCGATTATGCAAAAATTGGGAAGTTTGAGTGCAGGATGTCATTTAATTACTTAAACTTATGCATCAACAGAAACCCTTGCCAGGGGTTTATGGAGGTTGCGTGCCCCCCGCATTCTACTGTGAGCAGGTTTGGTGCGAAGGCTGCTGATGGGTCGGAGCCCCAGTTTGTCGACTGGAGAATACAGGTACAGTGATACAACAGCCTGCCGAAATCGCAAAGTCTTGCAAGTTGAGCCGATAGCACATGACAACTCAGCGCAAGCCGAAAATACTACGCAGGATTCAGCTGCATGTTGGCAGGAGTTGGATTTTCTAGCACGATTGTTCCCGCACGTCCATGTGTGAACGTGGTGCATTCTGCCCGCGGGGCCTTGCTCGAATTGTGCTTGAGGGGGTTTAGGGTTTAGGGTTTAGGGGTTTAGGGTTTAGGGGTTTAGGGTTTAGGGTTTAGGGCTGAACTTTGAACATTCAGCATTGCGTCCGCAAAAATTTGGGATCCGAGTACATGCAAGGATCCCTTGAACAAAGTACCACCAAGGTTATCAACCCCGAAATCCCAAAGCCGGAGCCCTCTCTAAAAAGCCTCAGATAGATTAACTTAAATCGATAGATAGATAGGTAGATAATATAGGCGCCTAAATAATTACCAAGACCATTTTGGGGGCTCCTTATCGTAATTATAGTATAATGGGCCCCGAAACCCCATTCGAATTATTAAGGCCCCTATATTAGATAGATATCTAAACCCTAAACCCTAAAACCCTAAAACCCTAAAGCCCTCAACCCTAGAGGAAGAAGCCCCCCCCCCCCGCGAGGAATGGGACTCCGCGGCCTCACCCCGGCAGCGGTGATCGCAGATGGCGTGGTGCCCTTTGTCAAGGCCGGCAAAGAGACGGTTTAGGGTTTAGGAGATATAGGGTTTAGGGTTTATAATATAGGGGTTTAGGATATAGGGTTTAGGATTTTGGGCTTAGGAAAGAAGGGTGCATAAGGCGGTGTATGGTTTATTCGCTGGCACACAATCCAGGGCTTACGCAGGGTTTCTGAGTTCTGAGAGGTGAGGTTGGGCAAGCTTCTGGCTTCTACTGAGCTGAGAGGCCGATTCCCCGTCAATCAGGGGTACCGGGCTGCGGGATCGAGGGTTGACGGATTTGGATTAGGCTTAGGGTTGAGGGATCAGGATTCTGGACTGAGGGTTAGGAGGATATTTGGTTATAATGTAGGGAATTGCGACTACGATTTTGGGTCTAGAGAGTAAGGATTCACGTGCCGATTCAGGTCAGGGGTGCAAGCCTGAAGTCAATCCAAGACCTGAACCCTGAAAGACTTAACCTTCAGGGTTACTATAGGGGCCTTAATGATTAGAATAGGGCTTTGAGGCCCATTATACTCTAGTTATAATAAGGACCCCGCCTCAAAATAGTATTGGTAATTAAATTTAGGCCCCTACACTATCTAATCTGGTCGCTCCCAAGACCCAGGAAGCATCGGACCGTGTGCAACCCCATGAACGCCGAAATCTAGCTTCTTCAGGCTGTGCACCCCTCAAAAATCCCTAAACCCTAAACCCTAAACCCTAAACCCCTAAACCCTAAACCATGCTTCTGTAATCCTCGAGCCCTCAGCAGCCTAAAGCCTCGAAGCCTAAACCCTACCCCAAAAGGGTTTAGGGGTTTAGGGTTTAGGGTTTAGGGTTTAGGGTTTAGGGTAAAGCCCGCTGAAGCAAAGGAGGCGACGGCAGCGGACGCCGATGCCGTTGCCCTGTGCCTGGCCTTCGCGCCTCGACCTCCCTAAACCCTAAACCCTAAATGCGTGAAATATAGGGTTTAGGGTTTAGGGTTTAGGGTTATCTTAGAATGTGATGCGATGGAAGTCTGACCACTGCCTCGACCTCCTCCTCCTCCTCCTGGAAAGCCCTAAACCCCCAAACTCTAAACCCTAAACCCCTAAATCCCTAAACCCCTATAAACCCTAAACCTCCAACCCCTAAATCCTAAACCCTAAACCCTAAACCCTAAACCCTAAACCCTAAACCCTAAACCCTAAACCCCTAAATCCTAAACCCCACTCCTCCCCCCCCTCCTCCGCTGGAGATTGTTTGGTTTCGGGACAGGAGCCAACCGATCGGACCAGGGCCAGGTTGTCCTATGAGGTTCTCTGGTAGGGTTTAGGGGCCTGAAGGTTCGAGTTTAAGGTTTAGGGTTTAGGGGTTTAGGGTTTAGGGTTTAGGGTTTAGGGTTTAGGGGCCTGAAGGATAGGTATTCTGATACGGTTTGTCTATCTACCTATCTACCTCCGTGTCTATTTACCTCTCTGCTATCCATCGGTCTATCTATCTGGCTAGCTATCTAGCTTTCTAGCTAGCTATCTATCTACCTACCTACCTATCTATCGATCTGTTGATATATCTAAAAGTATACTGTGGCTCACGAGGTTTACTTTTCTGGCCCAGCGTATTGTTCGAATTCGCATACATGCCGACATGAATAGAAGAGGGTATTTGTGATGTGGTTTCCAAACGGCTTCGGGGACTACAGTCTACCCAAAACCCTTAACTGTATGTTTCAGACCGGAATGGACGCAAGTCAGAGTTTCAGAAAGGTTAGGGTTTAGGGTTTTTGTTTGCCTTCTTGTTCTTCTCACACTGTTACAGGGCTTTACAGGCAGTTAGAGAGTAGGTCTGAGGGTTTAGCCAAGCCTTCATGCTGCATCACAGACTCGAGCACCCAAGGAATAGACCCAGGGTGGGGTTTGAGGACCTATGGCTACGGGCCCATGTCGTAAACCTGAGATGCACAAAACACTATGGACGCTTGGTCCGAGAGCGAGTGTGGAAACCCCAGACTACAGAGCCCAAAGCCTTAAACCCTAAGTCCAGAAAAAGCCCTTCTCCCAAACCGCACCAAAGCACCTGAACCCTAAACCCTACGTAAGTCCAAAAGAAACCCCAACTCCTTCCCGGCGTTCCCAAAAAAAGAGAACAAAGCCCAAACCCCATGTAGACTCAGGTGGCCAAGAACCGAAGCTGCTTCCCTGAGTGCGAGGAGGGAGCTCGAAGCAGAAGTACCCTAAACCCTAAACCCTAAACCCCTAAACCCTAAACCCTAAACCCTAAACCCCTAAACCCTAAACCCTAAAACCCTAAACCCTAAACCCTAAACCCCTAAACCCTAAGTTGGAGACAGGGAACCTCGGGGGGGCTTTGGGGATGCTGCGTGTCAGGCTTATACATGGGTAGTGTTCGAAAATAAGGTTTAGGGTTTAGGGTTTAGGGTTTAGGGTTTAGGTAGGAGTTTCCGAAAATCAGGGGTACCTTACTTTGGGGTCCTTATAAGAAGGATCCTACTCTTTAGGGTACTATATTAGGGTCCCCTATTTTCGGAAACTCCCACATGGGTAGGACCCAAAAAAGCGACCCTAATTTAAAGAATTATCCACATGTTGAAGTCGGCTAGGGTAGAGGTTTAGGGATTTCGATGGCTGAAGGGGTAGGGCTGAACCCCCACCACCAACTCAGACTGCACCTGCACCCCTAAGTTCTAAAGCCCAGACCACGGGACGACCCCTGCTACCCCGCAGTGAGACCAAACCCGAAACCCCCAAGCCGCCAAGCCTACTTAAAGGATCATGGGACTTAGCAAGTAGGGTTATAACTAAGGTAACTATACTTATAACCACAATTAGGGGACTTATAACCTTGCCTACTAAGTCCCATGATCCTCCAAGTAAGCCACAAGCACAAGCCCCGATACCGGGTGGATGATAGGAGCTCTACAGCCGAAGGGGTCGAGGACCAAGAGGCCCAGATGCCCTCCACCGGTGGGTTTAGGGGTTTAGGTTTTAGGGAACGCGTAGGCAAGGTCTTGAGGTAGGGCAGGGCGGGTGGGATCGTAAGGTTGAGTTAGCTCTTTCTGGAGTTTCGCGTTGTTCAAGGTTTCGGTTGTCAGGTTGAGATTTTTTTGGATTTGCGAATGCTCAGGCGAGCACCGAATGCATCTTCGTCTTAAGAGTTCTGTATGTTTTGCAACATGATACATTAGATAATAAAATATACAGTAGTTGCCAACATACCGGCGTAAGAGCCACATCCTGACAGCTTCGCACTTGAGGCAAAGATGCAGATGGGGTGGGCTTAAGCTAAACGGCTCAAGTTTGGGGGTGGGGGTTTTAGTAAGCTTGAGAGCAAACCTACTGCATGATTTGTGGGCGCGAACGAATGGCACTCCCCCGTTGATCTCTACCTTCGTGGCAGTATCGCAGTATGTCACATTGCTGCTCAGCGAATGCCTCCCCATAGGCCCCATAGTAGTTCCTTTTATTTTGGGGTTCATATTTAGAACCCTACAAGGTAATCCCAAAACCCTAAACCCTAAACCCCTGAAGCCCTAACACTCAGAGGAACTACTATTGGGCCTTTGGGTCGGCAGGGGATGGAGGGATCCTTAGAACTGTGGCCGGAAGCTACCGGCACCCTTTCAAGCAACACAGCAGAAACTTAGGGTTTAGGGTTTAGGGAGAAACCCCCGCCGACCGCCCGATTCTTCCTCAGCTTTGGGGTTGAACCCTCATCCAGAAGCCAGTTAGGCGGGTTTAGGGTCTGGGGTTTAGGGTTTAGGGTTTAGAGTCATTGTTACGAATGGCTAACTACCAGGCGTACTTGCTTGCAAGCATGCAGCAAAAAGGGTAACTGTTATCTTCCCCCACCAGCATAGAAGCACGATGCTGCTCATTCCGGCGAGGCTTTGACGTGCTCTTGCGGGCGTCTCTGCGCGTGCCCTGCACTTTACCAGGTGCCGGCTTTTCTCTAAACCCCAACCCTAAACCCTAAACTCCGCTACCGAACCACCGAGGCAAGTAGAAAGAGACTAAGCCCTACACCCTTGATCCTTTCGAGGTTCTAGAAGATCCTCTCAGACCCACCTTGTAAGATCCAAGAAGACCCAACAAGAGCCTCGAAGATCCTAGCAAATTTCCATAAATCCCTGTAAGACGCTACAAAACCTTGTAAGATCCTACAGAACCCTGTAAGACCCTATAAAACCCTGTAAGATCCCATAGATCTGAGTCAGTGGAGCTTTGATCCTTGAGCTCCTGCATCAGCTCCCAAGGTTTAGGGCTCGAGGTCGGAATAGTTAGGTTTAGGGTTTAGAGGTATAGGCTGTATAGGGTTTAGGGTTTAGAGGTATCTGGTGTAGGGCTTAGGGTCTAGAGTTATCGGGTTTAGGTGTGTAGGGTTATAGATTTTAGAGTTGGGTGGTTAGAGCTTTTTGTTGTTGTGGGGTTTAGACTTATAGGGTTTGCCCGTTTAGAGTTTAGGGACTTCAACATGTTTGGGTTCCGGGGTTGCAGCCTTGCCCTGTCTGGAGTTTCTATGGTTTCTGTTGCGACAACAGGCCGACTCCTGTAACGAATGGGGTGGGAGCGCTTACTCCTGGAAGCAACCCTAAACCCTAAACCCCTATCCCTAAACCCCTAACCCTAAACCCTAAACCCCTAAACCCTAAACCCTAAACCCCTAAACCCTAAACCCTAAACCCCTAAATCCTAAACCCTAAACCAATTCAGACTTCAGCTTAGGACTATGGAAGATTGTTCCAGGACCTGGCCTCGTTAGTCGAGGGTGCATTTTGGGCTTATGAGAATAGAGTCATAGGGTTTGGCTTGTTTGGTTTGGAGTTATGGGGTTTAGAGTTTAGGGGTATAGGGTTCAGGGGTTTAGAGTTTTAGGGCTTAGAGTTATCGGATTTGGGGGGGAGGGCTTAGGGTTTAGGAAAAAGGTGCCTTGCAGAGTTGGGAGATCTAGGACCTAGGAGAGATCCTGCGCTGATCTTGCAGGGTTTAGGGTTTGGGGTTNNGGGTTTAGGGTTTAGGGTCAGGGTCTCCAGGGCTTGGGGATAAAATCGGGAGGCTTTGCGCCGAAAGTTGAGGGCTGTCAGTCGGTATAGGGTTTAAAGGTTGAGTGCTTTAGGTCCTAAGGCATCGGGTTCATGGCTCATGGTCCAGCTCTGAACCGTGGGACTCAGGATTTTGATTGTGGGTCGAACTTGAGAAGCCAAGCAACATCAGTTAGGGAGGGATTTGGAAGTGAGGGTGTGCGGGCATAGGGCTTTAGGGCTTAATAATCAGTCCTGACCCCTAGATCACAACAGTCAGTCTTGAATCCCCGAAGCCCCGAATGTAAACAGAACCCTGTCTTCGGATTTATCCAAGTCTGAGCTAAGCACCCAAGCCTAGGACATTGTC